GGAAAGTCTTTTACTGAGAGATTAAAACCTACAGTAAGTCATTGGTACTTATAATAGCCCATTTATTTGTCTGTGTTCTCACTATAAAACTCAGTGACTATCACCCGATGAGTCTCCTACAATGTGAGAAAAGACCTAAACGATTTAGGACAAAACACTGGTCATTCTTTTAACCAGTTATCTGAAGACTGATTTGCTCCAGTGAATAATAATCCTTAAGACTCTTTATAGGTAAACAGGCTGTAGCTAGACTTTGATTCTATTTCCTCTCTTTCAGCTCCTAAATACTGTTAGGGTTAAAGAGATAATTAACTACATGTAAGACAAGGAATATTATAATTTGTCCTTTGTTCAGGTCAAACCAGTTTTGCAGCACAGGTTTTCTTCCTTGACAACTCTTGTTATTCTTTTTCAGAATGCTTATTATACCAGTTTAACCAAAAGTGAATTTACGAGTAAACAAAAATAGTATACATGATTCTTCTGCTGCCTAATGATTTAAAAACACATTAACTTCAACCAATCTTTATCTACCTTCCCTGCATCACTCCATTGAATTTAACAGAAAGGAAGTCCCAAAAGTAAAAGACTGAGCTGAGTGATTTTCCTACCTGCTTTTCGAAAGGGAGTTGAAGGGTAAGGAAGTTCCTATAAAAAAAGAGATTTGAGGACCAGCGTTTTACCTTTCCTAGATAGAGCTAGATTTGCACCACAACTATACTTCCAGAGTAACTCAACAAAGCATACATTATTTCTGGTAACACCTTGCTAATAAAACACCATCTGAATTTAGCTCCCCTCCTAAATGGGTCAGCCCATGGAAAAACACTAGTACTTTTATTGAATCCAGTAAGAGGAGATCCATGAATCCAACAGATTTTACTTATTATTTAACCACGTAAACTAGTGAACTATATTTTCAGTTATTAACAGACCATGAAAAGTTTTTTTTAGAAAAAAAGATATTTCCAGTACCCTGCATAGCATATTGAACATACTCATTTACCTCTACTTCCTCATGAAACCCTCTCCATATAGACAATAAAGGATAGGAAGAAGAGGAAGAGAAGGGTAGAAGTGACAGCAAAAGAAAAGAGACACGCAGGGTGAAGTGGCTCAGCGCCTGTAATCCTAGCACTTTTGGGAGTTCAAGGCAGGAGGATTACTTAGGGCCAGGAGTATGAGACCAATCTTTCTCTACAAAAACCAGAAAAACTAATCAGAGATGGTGACACATGACTAGAGTCCTACCTAGCTACTCAAGAGGCTGGTGCCCAGGAGTTTGAGGTTAATATAAGCTATAATACCACCACGATCGGCACAGGCAACTGAGTGAGACCTGTCTCAAAAAAGAAGGAAAAGCAGCCATAAAATCTGAGGAGCTTTCAAGCAAAGGCAAAAATTGTAACTGACTTAGATAAAAGCAAAAGCACAAGAAAACAGCCAAGATGCAAACTGAGTCAAAGCACAGAATCCCAGAAAGGCTCAGAAGTTGAAGGTACTGATATTATTTCTGAAGGGAGATACAGATAAGTAAGATACTGAAAGACCCCTCTGGGAAAACTTACTAACTTGAGTGGAGAACATGGGATTAGAGTGGGGGGCCATACACCTGGCGACAGGCACCCAATAAAAATGGCCAGGTACCCCAACCTTGCATCCTAAGTAAAGCTTTCAACTTCATAAGCTGTTCACATATACAGAATTTCCAGTCAGCCTTTTAGTGGTCAGAAGTCTAAGAGAAATGATTGCTATTCTTAGATTCTCTACCTGCTAAAACTACTATTCAACTATAAAGGTAGAAAAGAAGGTAATTCAGACATTCAGGATCTCAAAAGTATGACTTCCCATATACTCTCAGGAAACTACTGGTAGTTAGGTACCAACAAAACAATAAATAAGTTTCAAAAGAAAAAAAAAAGAGAGAGAAATAAGATCTAGGAATTGAGAAATCCAGCATGGATAGAAAAGCAAAGGGAATTCCCAAGATGAATACTATGAAACAGGACTACAGAACAAATTCAAATTGGAAAAGAAGAATGAAAGGTTCCAACAGCGGTATTAATCAACAGGAAGGCAAAAAAAAAAAAAAAAAGAAAAGAAAAACTAATGGATTGCACAAAGTGTTTGAAGGGAGGGAGGGGAGTTTTATACTTCTGGTAGATAGTCTACTAAATTGCTAATAAATACATAGAACAGGAGTCAGCAAACTTTTTCTGTAAAGAACAAGATAGTAAATATTTCAGGCTAAGTATTTTTGGCTTTGCAAAAATTATTTGTTGATAATTATTTAACTGTTTTAGTGTGTCAACAGCCATAAAACAACCCATCAAAGAATGAGCATGGCTGTGTTACAATAAAACTTAGTTACAAAAACAGGTGGCAGACTACATATGCCCTATAGGGTAGTAGTTTACTAATCCAACATTGATAATTAAGTGAAAAAGAGATAACCATTAAGATCTGGGAAAACAAAAAGATGTACAAGAAATGGAACACCTAATACACTATATGGCTCAGGAATAAATAATATTTATATGATCTGAACAGTATAAATAAAACTCGTTAACTATACTGGCAAAATAAGGAAAGGGAGAGGGGAAGGAAGAAGAGCATACATAAGAGTGCCTGGGCCAGTTGTGGTCGCTCATGCCTATAATCCTAGCACTCTGGGAGGCCAAGGTGGGTGGACTGCCTGAGCATGAGCAAGACCCCATCCCTAAAAATGGCCAGGCGTTGTGGTAGGCACCTGTAGTCCCAGCTACTTGGGAGGCTGAAGCAAGAGAATCACTCGAGCCCAGGAGTTTGAGCTTGCTGTGAGCTATGATACCATGGCACGCCCCCAAGGGCAACTAAGTGAGACTGTCTCCAAAGTGCCAACTTCAGCTATACACAGTGGCATGGGCCTACAGTCTGACCTACTCAGGAGGCTGAGACAAGAGGACAGCTTAAGCCCAGGAGTTTTTTTTTAAAGAGACAGAGTCTCACTTTATCGCCCTTGGTAGAGTGCTGTGGTGTCACAGCTCACAGCAACCTCCAACTCCTGAGTGTAGGCTATTCTCTTGCCTCAGCCTCCTGGGACTACAGGTGCCCACCACAACGCCCAGCTATTTTTTGTTGCAGTTTGGCTGGGGCTGCGTTCAAACCCACTACCCTCAGTATATGGGGCCAGCGCTCTACCCATTGAGCCACAGGCACGGCCCGAGCCCAAGTTTAAAACCAGCTTAGACAATATAACAAGACACCACCTCAAAAATAAATAAATAAATATCAATGTGTCCAAGTGTTCAGGGAACAGGAAAACAAGATAGCTAAACCCTTAATAGAAAGATAAAATTTCGGGCAGCGCCTGTGGCTAAGTGAGTACAGCACCAGCCCCATATACCGAGGATAGTGGGTTCGAACCCGACCCTAGGCGCCCGTAGTCCTAGCTACTTGGGAGGCTGAGGCAAGAGAATTGCCCAAGCCCAAGAGCTGGAGGTTGCTGTGAGCTGGGACACCACAGCCCTCTACCCAGGGCGACATAGTGAGACTCTGTCTCCACAAACAAAAAAGAAAACAAAAAAATAAATAAATAAAAAAATAAATAAAGATGGCAGAGCAGAAACCTCCAGGGAACCTTGAATCCTTAAGGACATTATTAAACAGATACACCAACACTAAACTATCTAGCTCCAAACTCCTTGCTATTGGGGAAAAAAAAAAATCGTTACACGAGCTAGGTAGTTAAGCTTTTCTGTTGTTGCAATTTACGAATTCCTAATTAATTCCTAATTCAATTCCTATATAATTGTTTTGTTAACAATAGAAGTTGGTGTTAATTTTCAAAGAGAAAAAAATGAAAAACTTTCTTTCTCTAGATCTAGTCACCCAGTCCCTTAAAACTAAAAAGAATAAAGAGGGAAAAACAAACCATTCCAGGTGCATATGAAAAAAAGTACACATAATGAAAGATGGTACTTCAACGACAATCTCAACTGAATGTTCGCTTCGTATCCTCTCATATCTTACAGAAAAACTATTAACTTTCCTTTAATTTTTCTTTCCCATGTCCCCCATCTTAACTTGCCATTGGTTTATCTCTCTCGAAGCTTCATTAATTCAACAACTGCTTAGGACTTAATAATGTTCTTATAGATTATGCCTTATATTATCTAAATCGTAGAGAACTAAAGTAACCTACAGCTTTTAACTGCACAGGAAAAGGAGGTATCTACCTTAAGTCTTCTGTGCTTCCACCTGCTAAGTGTCATTAATTTGTTTAATTCAATGTTTAAGAAAATTATAAACTCTCCAAGAGTCTTATATAGAAAAACACAAATAAAAATTACTTTAATTAAAGCAAACTGAGAGACTGGAAATTAGAAGAGTTAACTCAATCCAAAACATAACCACATGTCATCATCTTTAATAAGTGTATCACTTAATTTTAACATCATAGTACTGTGCATATTTCCACTTGTACTGAAAAAAAAAAAGGATATTTCAATGCATAAGGCTCTGCTTTTATCCCATATTTTCTCTATCACCCCAAATCAAAATTTAGGACACTGTATTAAAACACAGTCTATTCCCATTGCAAGAAAAAAATACTGTTTTGTTTTGAGACAGAGTCTCACTCTGCTGCCCAGACTACATATAATTCAGTAGTGTTATAGCTCATTGCAACCTCAAACACTGGGCTCAAGTGATCATCCTACTTCAGCTTCCTGAATGTCTACTAAAGGCATGCGCCACCATACTCAGATATTTTTCTACTTTTTGTGGAGACGAGGTCCCTTACAAGTGCAAGCCACTGAACCCAGCTCTAAGAAAATTCTATATATATAAAAGAGTGCAAAGTGGTCAAAGAAAACTGAATATAGTACTTTGCCAAAGTTAACCTCCTAAATATGTCTGTACTTGTATTAGCTTGTTTCATTCCACATTCTTTATAGGGCCATAAAAACTAACAAACCTAAAGAAATATCAAGTAAGAATTTATAAATAAAATAGCTTACCTTTTATTTATAGGTTTTTCATCTTTTTCGTAAGGCTTTACAAACCACTTGCCAATACGTACAAAGTTCCGGTTCATTAAACATCGTTCCAACAGATTATGAATTGCTTTGAAAAGCAGAGTACGGCATTCATAGGAAAGTCCATTCTCCCACACTCCATCTTCCTCTTCTAAAAGAGAAATAAAGGAAACAAAACTATGAAGTAGTGGAAGTAGTGGCATTTTATCTATTCAGAGCCAATATACCCTTTTTTTTTTTCTAATAAAAAAGTTACGAGTGATACCTGTGGCTCAAAAGGGTAGGGTGCTGCCCCCCCGCCCCAAAAAGTTACAGCTTAAACTCCATATTCATAAACTTTATTTCAGCCCAGAATATAATACAATAATTATTTCAATATATCTCTAAACATTAAAATAACAGGTTTTCAAGTGACTCCATAAGGAATAAAAAAGTTCTAATTGCCATGAATTCTGTCATCTGAAAATTGTTTTTCTGCCTTATAAAAGGGCAAAGGTATCATGAATACACTGACTTGGTATATCAATAAAAAGGACACTTGTGGGAGGTGCCTGTGGCTCAGTGGGTAGGGCACTGGCCCCATATACTAAGGGTGGCGGGTTCAAACCCAGCCTTGGCCAAACTGCAACAAAAAAATAGCCAGGCGTTGTGGCGGGCGCCTACAGTCCAGCTACTCGGGAGGCTAAGGCAAGAGAAAATCGTGTAGGCCCAGGAGTTGAAGGTTGCTGTGAGCTGTCTGATGCCGCAGCACTCTACCAAGGCGATAAAGTGAGACTCTTATCTCTACAAAAAAAAAAAAAGGACACTTGTTTATATAACCTGGAAAATATGAAACATATTCTAACATCTATGATGCCAATTTCTAAGCTGGCTCACTTGTAAGTTACTTTGTCCTAATTCCTCAAGTCATTCAAACTGCCATAAAAAAGTTAGCTAGTTAATAATTTAACTCAAAATGTTTCATGTCCATCAACTTTGTAATTCATGACTCCATTATAAAATGAAGTGATAAATGAAAAGGAAACTACTGGCACAGAGCCTAACACCCAGGGCACTATCAGCCACTTTAGGTCTCATTTCAACCAAATGATTCTCATCATTACTATTCAGTATAGGATTTTCTACTTAAGAGGACAAATTTAAAGACATAAGTTTTAACTTCCAGTTCAGTTGTATAAAATTAATAGCTACCTTCATGAGTATATGCCTTAATTTTGTGAGAAAATCTGTTTTTTTGTTTTTGGAGTCAGGGTCTCACTTCTATTATTGCATTAAAAACATTCAAGTATGTGTGTGCGCGTGGTGCCAGGTAACTCATCTAACACAAATATGTCTTTTTTTTGGAGACAGAATCTCACTATGTTGCCCTCAGTAGAGTGCCATGGAGTTACAGCAACCTCAAACTCCTGAGCTTATGCAATTCTCTTGCCTCAGCCTCCCAAGTAGCTGGGACTACAGACGTCCGTCACAACGCCTGGCTATTTTTTTGTTGCAGTTGTTTAGTTGGCCCAGGCTGGGTTCAAACCCACCACCCTAACCACTATACTACAGGCGCCAGTCCATTAACTCAAATATGTCTTAATGATCATCACAAACCATTAAAGTATGAGGGAAATATGGAAAATAGGAGAAATCATCTAAAATTGATCTAGTAATTCTAAATTTATTGTTAAGGATTAAAAAAATAAGGCAGTATCATCTCAAAGAATTCTTTCTCTTAAGATGTAATAAGAAAAAATCCCATAGCTCAGTGGGTAGGGTGCCAGCCACCTACACCAGGGCTGGTGGGTTTGAACCTGGCCTAGGCCTGCTAAAACAACAACAACAACAACTGCAAACAAAAAAATAGCTGCATGTTGTGGCAGGCACCTATAGTCGCAGCTACTCTGGAGGCTGAGGCAAAAGGCAAAAGAATCGCCTAAGCCCAAGAGTCTGAGGCTGCTGTGAGCTGTGACGCCACAGTACTTTACCCATGGCAACAGCTCCTCTATTTCAAAAAAAAAAAAAAGCAAAAGAAAAAAGCTAACGATTTGATTTTGCTTTCTGATTGTTAATTTGTTTTTTGTTGTTGTTTATTCATTTGAGATAGAGTCTCACTCTGTCACCTGGGCTAGAATGCCATAACCTCAGCCTAGCTCATAGAAACTCAAATGCCTGGGCTCAGGCAATCCTCCTGCCTCAGCCTCTCAGGCACCTGCCATCACACCCAGTTACTTTTTTATTTTTAGTAGAGATGAGGTCTCATTCTTGCTCAGTCCAGTTTCAAATTCCTGAGCTCAAGCAATCCTCCAGCCATGGCCTCCCAGTGATAGGATTAAAGGCATGAGCCACTGCACCCATGAGCTCAGCCACACCATGAGCTTTTGGCTGAGACACGTATTAAAAGTCACACATGGTTTATATTCAAAACTTACACAACAAATGGTCAGAATAAACATTAACTAAAAAGTATAATGACAGTGGACTTCAACTGCACCAGAATTTCTTGTGCTTTGTGCCACTACAAAGGTTAATGTTGATTTTGTGTTGTTCTTTGAAGTGTTACCTTTCAGTCAGATGAGGTCCACAGAAATAAAGTGTTTCCTAAATGAGAGTCAAATCTTTTTTGTTGTTGTTGTTGTTTTGGAGACAGAGTCTCAGTATGTCAACCTCAGTAGAGTGCTGTAGCATCACAGTTCATAGCAACCTCCAACTCTTGGGCATAAGCAATTCTCTTGCCTTAGCCTCCCAAGTAGCTGGGACTACAGGTGCTATTTTTTGGTTGCAGTTGTCATTGCTGTTTAGCAGGGACAGGCTGGGCTCAAACCTGCCAGACTGGGTGTATGTGGCTGGTGCCCTACTCACTGAGCTACAGGCGCCAAGCTATGACAGTCAAATCTTTCAAAGCAACTAACTGTGGTCTGTCTAAAAGGGTAAGCTTCTAAGAACAAAAAAACTCAAAAGTAAACTTTAGAAAATGATAATACTTGATGGCGCGGCACCTGTAGCACAGTGGTTATGGCACCAGCCACGTACACCAAGGGTGACAGGTTCAAACCTGGCCTGGGCCAGCTAAACAACAACACCTGCAACAAAAAATAGCTGGGTACTGTGGCAGGCACCCGTAGTCCCAGCTACTTGGGAGGCTGAGGCAAGAAAATCGCTTAAGCACAAGGTTTGGAGGTTGCTGTGAGCTGTGACGCCATGGCACTCTACCAAGGGCAACATAGATTCTGTCTCAAAAAATAAATAAATAAATAAATGAAAATGTTAATACTTGAGTTGGAACAAAAGAATATTTTTATTTTTATATTCTTTAATATTAAGCAGTAACATTAAATTGAAAAACTTCACATTCTATTATATTGGTAATATCTTTATCTACTTCCATTTAAAACCAAACTACGGTTTCTTTTTTTTTTTTTTGAGACAGAGTCTCCCTCAGTAGAGTGCTGTGACATCACAGCTCACAGCAACCTCAAATAGTTGGGCTTAAGCAATTCTCTTGCTTTAGCCTCCCAAGTAGCTGGACTATAGGGGCCAGCCACAACACCTGGCTATTTTTAGAGATGGGGGTCTCACCATTCTCAGGCTGGTCTCAAATTGTGAGCTCAAGCAATCCACCTGCTTTAGTCTCCCAGAGTTCTAAGATTACAGGTGTGAGCCACTGCACCCAGCTTACTACAAAGATTTTTATTTACTACATTTGAAAAGAAGGCACATTGATTCTTAAATAACTTGTATGTGTGGGGGGTTTTTTTGTTTTTTTTTTTTTAAAGACAGAGCCTTACTTTTTTGTTCTGGGCAGAGTGCCACGTATGGCTCAGGTGATCCTCCTGCCTCAGCCTCCCAAGTAGCTGTGACTACAGGTGTACACCACCATTTTTGGCTCAACTCCTAAGCTCAAGTGGTCCTCCCACCTTGGACTTCAAGAGTGCTAGAATAAGACACACGAGCCATCATGCATGGTCGCCATTTTTAAGTATTAAATGAATAACTTATTTGAGGTTTATAGCAACTATACAACTTTGATATACGTAAAAGGTAAGTAACTGTGCTTCTTGAGTCTTTGCTTTAAAACTTGACAACTAGTTAGCAGAAAGATTTTGCGAAGGGCTACTTATGTAGGACAGATGTTACAACCATTGTGCTACTTAGAATGTAGTGGATTTTTGAGGTAAATAAAGGATGAACTTATAACTAGATAAGAGGTGAACAATTGGGAGATAATTCCAACCTTTATAAGTTGACCATCCAAGGGACTGTAAGCAAACTGCTCTGCATATGGAGGTAATCAACATAACGATGGCCTACTGTACTGATACAGACATGTGGTACATCTGGTCTATTAAAATTAGGTTAATTTATGGTGGTGGTCAGTGTAGGAAGGTGGTCAACTATGGAGGTTCTATGGTAATTCTGTTAGAATTAAGAATGTGTATGGGGGCTCGGTGCCTATAGCTCAACCGGCTAAGGCGCCAGCCACGTACACCTAAGGTGGCGGGTTCAAATCCCCAGCCCGGACCCGCCAAACAACAATGACGGCTGCAACCAAAAAATAGCCGGGCGTTGTGGCGGGCGCCTGTGGTCCCAGCTACTTGGGAGGCGGAGGCAGGAGACTCGCTTGAGCCCAGGAGTTGGAGGTTGCTGTGAGCTGTAATGCCACGGCACTCTACCCAGGGGGACAGCTTGAGGCTCTGTCTAAAAAAAAAAAAAAAAAAATGTGTATGGGGCAGCACCTGTGGCTCAAAGGGTGCCGGCCCCATATACCGGAGGTGGCGGGATCAAACCCGGCCCTGGCCAAAAACTTAAAAAAAAAAAAAAAATAGCTGGGTGTTGTGGCAGGCACCTATAGTCTCAGCTACTCAGGAGGCTAAAAAAAAAAAAAAATCTTTGTAGCAAAAGCTATTAACACAATAATTTTATGATTTTATTTTTAAAATCTATTTCAGTTAAACTTGTAGTTAAATGACTTAAGAATAAAAAATGAGGTTTAAGAATTCTCCTTCACTAGTCTAAGTTTTATTTAGAGCAGCAATTCTCAACCTGTGGGTCATGACCCACAGGAACTGCATTAAAGGGTTACGGCATTAGGAAGGTTGAAAACCACTGATGTAGAGAAACTCAGGTGAACTTAATACTTTAGAAGGGGGAGATGTCGCATGTCCCCAA